ACTGAAAACCCTGCAACACCTCAAAACCAGGAACTGGCATCTTGTGACTGATACACCTCACCTACCGCCTTACAGGCCCCCTCTGATAGCCAGCGTACCAACAGCTCTGACCACCAACCTAATTCTAATGCAATTAAATACATTGCTCAATCATCGAAATCCGGGATGTCATCGTAGGAATAGCCCCGGTAGCCTTTGGAGGCGTAGTACGCGATGCGCAGGTGGTAGAAGCCTGGGAGAAACACCAGGATCCCGATGATGAGCACAGGGATAGCACGGTCCGTTCCCTGCGGAGGAGAGATATGCAAATGCAGTAAGAAGAGATCTGTACCGGGGAGTGTCTTTCCTTTTCCTTAAGTCCTGCCTCAATTATTCACCCCTAAGGCCTGGCTAGCTGAGAAAAAAAAACCCAAAATTCTTCTTCAATCAGAAATATCTCCGTTTTCTTCAGGCTGAGCTCCAAGTCCTCTCCCTGGCATCTCCTCCTTGCTACAGGAAGCCCTCAACTGAACTTCTCCTTCAGATAGGAGGGGTGGCTCCTCCTCACACTGATCACAGATCAAAACTGCCAGCCACAGGCTGGGTGCTGCACGCTTGGCTGACGGCGAGCTCTCCTCTCTGTGCCTGGCCTGCCTCCGATACAGCCAAAATGCTGCCGCTTCCACAGTGATAAGCAGCAGCTGCCAACCGTGAAGCGATTCCATCCAGCAGAAGGTGAAAGGAGAAGCGTGCCATAGAGGAGCACCGAGTCAGCTACGAACAACAGATCCCCTCTCAGTGGATCATGAACAGAGGAGAACAGTGGAGCTGTGTCCTGTATAGTGGGTCGGTATCTCCTACAGGAGTTACCAGATCATCTTCACTAGAGGAGTGATGACGCCAGCATGAAGTTTTTCCAGGACAGCAAGCTGACCTCTGCAGGGATGTAGGATTCAAATGAAACTGTACCCCAAGGAGGACAGAGAAACTCAGCCCTCCCTGGCAGACCTCCAACCCAGCCATGAACCTGCTCCAGCCCTCCAAGATGAGAGGCCTCTGCTGCCAGAGAAACAGGGCTGTCAGCAAACGCCAGCGCGGCAGTGGAGGGGATGACTTTCTTGCTTACAGGCCTTTTGCTCTGAATTTCTACGCTGAACACGATGGTCCGTGGCAGGCTGTGAGGAACCGGCAAGCAACGCAAAACTCGTAACAGAAGCGTTAATCAAACCACTTACGCCTTTGCTAATGTATCCTGCCAAAAGGAGGGCTCCTATGATAATGAGGAGGGTCCCGATCATGAAGAGCACAATAGCCAGTGCAATTGCCTTGTAGGGGATTTTTGGTGGGCTCTTCTTAAACTGGATGGAAAAAACAAGTATTAAACAGCTTAATGCAGCACAGTTCCCATCCCACCACGGCAGAGGCGCGAATCCCACAGCTAGCAGAGATGACATGGGACAAACGGTTGCAGCAGCTTTGCTGCAGGGCTCTAAGGGCCTTCGGGTGAGGGATCCTGCCCATGGAGGCCCCGCTCTCTGCGCCAGCGTTTACACCCATCGCTTCCAGACCTGCTCTGATTTTCACCTCCCTCCAAAGAAACGCATCTCACCCTATAAAACAAGCAATCTTGTTTCCAGTTAAGCCCTACGGGCTTTCTGGAGGAGAAGGGCCGAAGTGGTGGCTGGCAGCATTGTACCTTTCTGAGCTGAGGCTGCTCTACTGGAGGTGACCAAAAGAGCAGCCTCCCATGCCCGTGTAAAGCTATAGCAGCCTTTCCCAGTGGTTTAAAGTCAGAGCAGCAGCAGAAAGATGTTCTTCCCCACTTTTTACCTGCAGGTCAATGTATCCATCATCAGTGCTGGAGAGTTTGGAATATTTGACTTTGCTATTGGGAATCCCAGCAGCCAGATTGGTACGTGACGGCATCATTACAAGGAAGCCCGAGCATCAGCTAGAACCTGGAAAACAAAATAGCAGAAAAAAAAAATAAATCAGAGCAATAAGAGTCTGAGAGACATGGATCAAGTTTAAGAGAAACAAAAGTGTCAAGCCTGTACTAACCAAAACGCATCTTGGTTCTTTTTCATAAATTAAATCTTTTCAAACAAAGCTTCATATTTAAGCCCAAAATACAGAAGCCTGGATATAGCTGCAACAGGGTTTGCCAATATTTGAAAGCAAAGTCAAACTAAGGTAGAACTTGTGTTTAAAACAAGAGAGAATTTCCAGAATAATATACAATGCATAAACCAGCTCTGATTTCACAAGGAGATCACACTGCCAGCAGCAAGATCGCCGAGGTCCAGCTATTTCTAAACAGGGACACTAGCAAATAAACCCAAACCAGAAATAAACAAAGCAGCTTTTCAAACAGCCGGATATTTTGCAATAGATCCATTTTGGAAAAAAAAAAAAACAACAACCAAACCACAACGCAAAAAACCCAAACAAACAAAAACAGAAACCCCCAAACCACTGGAAACTAGAATGAAATGGAGGTGTCATTCCTGAGACAGCTCAAGTCATGACTCAGAGAGGGCATGACAAGGGGATGGAGTGGTTGGTGGATGAGGTAACCAAAAAACCAGCAAGAAGCATAAAAAAATCATAGGTCACTTGTCTGTCTGGCTGCAAGGGAGGCAGCGTTCTGGTTAGAGCTTTATTTAGTGACGCCAGAGCCGTACCCTGCAATTTCACCGTGCCGGGAGGCCAAGCCCCGCTGTTTTTCTGCCAGCAGCAACAGTCCCAGGGAGAGGGGCAGAGCCAGCTTGCTGCTGCGCCTCGGAGCCCAACTTCTCAGGAGCTGAAGCCTGGATCTGGCCTGCCAACACCTCCCTGACTCACGGCAGAGCCATTTAACAGGGCCGGACACTCCTCCCAGCAGGACCTGTGCGCAGGTCTCTGCTCACCCACAACCTCAAACCTGCACTTGCAGCCCAGGGCTACAATTCCCAGAAGTGAAGCAGAAAATACTTTCCACACTTCCCAACTTCAACAGCTTTATTCCATACTTTCTCAGAAAACAAAAAAGGAAACAAAAGCGCGTATCCCAACTGGTCCAGTAGGAAGGGACAAAGATGCTTTTCCCACAACACTATTTGGCACCTAAGGTAACAGCATCTCCTCACAATAGTTACGTCTCCACTTGAACTGAAATCCTTTGTCTTCCTCATGCCAATTGCTGGCACAGTCCCCTGCCATCAGGTTTATTCCTCCTGCAGTAAATTTGACTTTTATAAAAAAATCCCCAGCACCCTCTGATCTCAAACCCCCTCAGCTGTACCTTTAACTTGAACATTTTTCTTTTTTTTTTTTCCCCACAGCAAAACCCAAGCACAGACAAAACACATTTCTGGCCACATCAATAATGGACATATCACCCCCCTATACGGGGGTAACACCCCCCTCCTCAGCTCCTTACACATCCAGGTGTTCCAGGTCACAGTACTCAAATACCCCCCCCAAGGGCTCCCAGGGGGTCGATGGGCAGGAGGAGAAGGCGGCAAAAGCAACCAGCACATCTGAACTGGGTCAGATTTCCTGACTCTGCCCCATTTCACTCCCAAGTACCAGGGGGCTTATTCCAACTGTCCCATTATTTACCAGGCTACTCCTGCTACCTTCCTAGGAATTATTGCCAATTTACACATGCAAAAATTGTCCTGCCCTTCCCATTACCAATGAGAAAGCTGCTATTAAGGACAAAATTTAAAAATCAAATACTCAGACCTCCCGTTTAAGGGCTGAGTTCAAGTTCACTCAGCTTTACGCTCCGGGTGCTCTACATTGGTTCGAGATCAGAAACAAGCTCAGTGCCGTGTTTTTTAAGAGGCAAAGCAACAGCAAATAACACTTGTAAGTCCAAATTTTCTAATATGACGCGCTGTGGTCACATTTTAAACCCAGTCAGAACTCCTGGGGAAAGGCTTCCAGGGCAAAGCGCAGGCTCACGAGGGGAGCTTGCCGGTAAATGCCAACATGGCACTTCAAGCCAAAATCCGGGTTATCCCCTCAATAAGCGCAATATATTTTTCTACCCTCTCTGCCCAGGACTAAGGGAGGGAAGGAAATGGTATTTCTTGCCCTTTTGGGAGCTCAACCCTCCCACCCAACCCAGTAACACACCCGGCCCCCCTCCTCCTCCAGACCCGAAATGGTTCCTCTGCTGCTAAACAGGAAGTTCCCAAGATGTCTGGGAGCTCCCCCGAAACTGCAGCCTGCACGGCCTGCCTCGCACAGCCTCAAAACATCCATAAACCCACACGAAACCCGTTACCTACTGGTGGTGCTGGTCAGACCCATCTCTCCCACTGCCGCTTCTCTTCCGCGCTGCCCCGGCCGCAGAACCACCCAGGAAGTTTATGCCTGATGACAGTAATGTCCTTCCAGGTTATGGCAGCGGCCTCTCGCTGGCTCAGCTCCGCTGGGTTATTTTCAGCCTCACGCTCCACATTAGTAGCTGGAAGCACAGTGTCCTTGGGCTGGGCAGCAGGGACCACGTCCTGGTCACCAGGCCCACGTCACGCCAGACCCACCGGAGCGAATCCGTCGTCGTAAGGCTGCGGTTTACTGAGCAGCGTGTTGCTACGCAGAAATAAAGTCAATTTTCTCAAGGAAGATCTGAACATAATTAAACTGCCCGACCCGGCACCGCCCTCCATGAGGGCTAAGTACAAGGCAGACAAGCTATAGCCAGCAAAATATTTCTAGCTCCTGGAACAGTATTAACCCACCAGCTGAAACAGAGCCAGGGATCTACTGCCTCCAGCTGCTCCCAACACGGCAACTGCAGGACTTGCCATGGTTCCGGTTCCTGTAAATTAATAAAATACACACTGGATTTAGAGCCTGGAAAGCCTCATCTCCTTGAGTTTCAAAGATTTCTCCCTCCCTCTCTTTCCTCCCTGGTAAGGAAGTCTATATATTTAAACTTCAAAAAGCTTACTCTCTCAGACATGGAGAAACACACAGCATTTACTAAGCCTCCCCAGCTTTTTTTATTTTTTTTTTTTTTAAAAGGAACATCTCGAGTATTTGGGTATGGCAATGGCAAAGTAAACATTCAGCTGCTTTCAGGCTTTATCCAGAAAGCAGACAGTACACAAATCAACACACAAGTGCATAGATATTGATGTTAAATGATGTTTCTTACAACATGAGGCTACTCAATTTGGTCATTACAGCTGCAAAAATAAGCAATTAAACCATTTGGCTTGTTTTTACAACATGTTTATTAGTAGAATAGCAGAAATAAGAGCTTGGTAACCCCCCACCACAGCGGGAGATTGCACCAAAAAATTTTCTTCCATCACCAGCCCAGCTTTACGCACACCATTGAAGCCCAGGATCCTTCCCTGTTTCAACACCATCAATATTTTGTTCTTCAATGAAGCACCCATCTCCTTGCTGTACTTGTGGGTACCACAACAGCCATCCCATCTGGGAAGCATCATCTCCGGAGTGGGAAAAGCCTCCTGGTTATCTACAGTACCCACCACTACCGTTCTGGGCAGTAACTCAGCAATTGCCGAGAAACCTTAGGGCAACTGGGTCACCTCTCGCTTCCAAGATTTTTTCTTAGAAGGTGCTGGATTAGTCAGGAGGCTAAGAAAGGTCAAGAGGATAAGTGGGTATGGGCTGCAGACACAAGACAAAGCTCAATATGGGAGCTAAAAACCACGCAGGGAGCCATCTGCGTCACAGCAGAAGAAAACCATGGTCTGAGCCATCTCTACGAGTAAAGCAGCGCTGCTACCGACAAAGAATCAAGGGCAGGGGCATTGAGAAATCCTGTCCCCCAGCTTCGAGCAGGGACAAGTTTTTGTGACCACGGCCGTATCATTCTGACACAGCAGAATTTGTTTCTTAATCAGTACTGCCACCTTGTGAAATTCTTCTGCTAAATCAGTTGGGTTTTCCAAGGGCCACGTTTTCAGGCAGTTTATACTCTTGTATTGCTGGCTGGTGGGAAGTACACAGCCTCCCCAAAAAATACCCACAGCGCTAATGAGCCTGTGAGTACTACTTACCACCCAGCGCGGATCAAGCCAACTACACAGCTCTTCAGGTTCCAGAGAGGAAGGATTTATGGCTACTAGCTGGTAGCAATCCCATAAGCAAAGATAAAAAGCCACAGTAGCTCCCTGAAACTGTTTTCAAATCCTGTTTTTCATGATCAAACCTTCTGGGTGAAACACGCTGTGAACCTTGTTTATAATTCTTCACCAACAATACGAACATGACCACGCATTCTCAGTGAAGAGGAATTGCTGGTGGCACAGGCATCAACAGACACATGTAGGGTGGGGGAGAAAGACACCCAATGAACGCAGCCTGTTGAGGAGCAGCTTAGCATCAAGGCAGAGCAGCAGGACCAGACGCAGGAGGGCTCACACAGCTCACACCAAGCAGCTTCCAGCCGCAGCTACACCACAGCGTGCGCCTACGCACCCCGACCTCCCCGAGAGCCAGAGCAGCAGCTACAGAACAGCCCCTGCTAGAGGCAGCTCTGGCATCCGCCGAAGCTCATGTGTGTCAAGGAAAACCTGTTTTCACAAACCTCCTCTGCTTAAAGGAAACGGCATCACAGGCCAATTAGTTATTCAAACTGTAGCCAGGGCCCTCCATTTCAGCGCATCGAAATGATCGAAGCAGAAGCTGGTAACTCCAGCGCAAAGCACAAGCTCGCCTGTTGGAGAGCCTTTGAAAGAGGAGCTAGGGATCATCAGCATGGTTCGGCAGAGCATCGATTCATCCGTCCACATTTAAACAGGATAAAACACATGAAATTATATCCTTTATTTCCATTTTCCAAGTTTCAGTTAGAATACCAGCTTTGAAAATAAATGAAGGTCAAGAACTCGTGACACAATTGAACAGCGACCCTAGTCAACTACAGGTCCACAGGTGAAACTCTAGGGAACATCATCTTTACTTGAGTTAAATATTGCACCCCTTCTCTAACACAGGTTGAGAGGAGTAAGATATTTCACCTTCAGGAAGCATTTAAAAGATTACTGGAAGTACAAGATAGACTAAAAAAACATTTCCTATTTCCAACAACACCAGTATAGCAAAATAGTAAGTTGAAAAATATTTACAGAGATATCTACACAACGTGCCTAACAGCGCCCATCCGATGCTCCAATGCACTGAAACTGCTACCACCACTGTTCTCTTCTCCACATCAGTTGTCCTCTCCCAAGAGCTGACCACATCTCCCCCTCAGTCCTACTCCGATTAAGAGCCTTCTTGTTGGTCTTCAATCTTTGGAGCCAGGTAGTATTTTAAGTGTCCCATATCAGCAATCTTGTACTCCACAACTGGGAAAAAGAAAACACAACAGCATTCAGGAGGTTCTGCAGCAAAGCCATTCGGTCAAGGGTTCTTAACGCAGGTCTAAGGTGGCAGCGCCCTACAAGATGTTTCAAGGAGAGCTGCTTCTACTTACCGAGAGGAACATCTGCAGACATGCTCAGTGTCACTGTGGGTGACAGGGGAGTGGCTTTGGTAAAAAAGTTCAAGTACCTCAGAGCAAAGGTCAATTGGACTGGCTCGTTCATCTCTATTGTAACCTAGAAAAGCACAGGCCAGGTTAGACTTCCAGAAATCCAGCAAGTTCCCTCAAGCCTCTCCAACTCTGACATCTCAAGCAAAGGCAGCCAGTGCTGCTCCCCACTCGGGTCTGCTGAGCACCGCCTGCAGGCCCCAGGGGTAAGGGCCTAAAGCTGGCAACGATCTGGTGACTCTAGTCTATAAACCAGAGAGATACACGACCCAATCACCCAGCTTTAGCCCCCAATACATCAGAGAATTAGTCACATTAGTAGAAACCTCAACACTGAAGACACTGCAGTAACCGTGAACGCTTGACTTACAGCTTCTTCCTCTTTGTCCACGTTACTGGTCTGCGACAGCTTGATGTTCCCGTTGCCCAGCTCGCCATTAGCTGAAAATTTCACCCCGTCTTTGGCACAGGAGATGACAACGGCGTCGCCGATATGGCTGAGATCTCTACAAATGCGGGCGAACTCAGCAGACGGCATTTTCACTACGCAACTGTATTCTTGTTCCTGTGAAGGAAGCGTCACAATGCAGCTTCTACCAAGACAACTGGTGTAGTCACCACACTCACCTAGTCTTTCCAAAAGCAGTTATTTTACCAGCTCAAACTCTGAAGTCTGATGTGACTCACTTTTAAGAGACAGGGTTGCCAGTCATTCGAGCCACTACTTACTGGAATTCCGAGCTGCTCCACATCGAGATCCATTAGCTTCATCTCATAATCAGAAACCTTCTCCTGATCTAAAGAAACAAAGCACAGTCTGACCAAGTGCGTCCAAGAAATTCACATCCTGGATTTAAGTTTTGCCCCCCCAATCAAAACCACCTCACTTATGACATTAAGATCCACCCTCTTTAATTAGAGCTGGTAATCTGGAAGCGACCCAGAGGTCACTGTTTGCATTTTGTGGGTTGTAAGGGGACATCAACCTGCCAAGAGCATCGGTGTGTGGCCTAAAGAAGAGTTTTTCTCTTTCAAAAGGAACTTTTGGTCAAGTGGACTAAGCTCCCATCTCCAGCTTGTTTCAAGAGCTTAACTATCAGGTGACACCTCCCATTTCTGAACTATTTATAGTAATTTCCTTTCCCCATCCACATGGCTTACGCCTACAAACATCACAGTAGTCAATCAGTTCCCAAACCCAACACTCACTTGGTGCTTCAAACACAAGAGCCAACGTGTCCGCATTGTCTTCTGCTCGGAGAGTGATGATGTCTTCGTTCCCGGCACACTTCAGTATTTTGGACATGCTAAGGGGGGACAGGGCGGGTTACTCTCAGACCGACAAGGCGCCCGCAGGAACACGCACCCGGTGCCAGCACAGCCTGAAAACGAGCCCGGCGAGCGGCAGCCCCGGCCGCGCACACGGCGCCGTGCGGGGGGGAGTGCAGAGCTG